CTAAAGTAGAAAAATATATGTGTGGCAAGACGATTGGGAGAATATATGTGAGTCATTTTAATTAAATGTATACATTTATTTGAGAGAGTGAAGACATTGTTATATGGCATTTTTTGGTCCTTTCAGCTGTTACTAGTCATTTATAATAGTCTTTTTATAATAGTCTTTCCCCAAAACTGAGGGAATTTCTTTTCTCATCTTATCTGAGTTCAAGCTTAGTTCTGTTCTAAAATAAGCAACCAGAAGTGAAATAGTCAGCATGTTTGAAAGGTCAGCAGCATTGTTATACCTCAAGTGGCTCTTTTCAGAAACAGCCGTCCTCTGGTATTATCATGGTTAGGTATAGTAGAAACCTAACTTTATGTATCATCTGGAATTTCTTAGTATTTAGTGAACAAACAGCATACAGCTATTTTACTAAAGACTGTCATACCTTTAAAAATTCTATGGTTTCTAATGTTGTTTGTAACTATTATGACTTGTCTGCCTTGCTTACCTAAATGTTTCCATCCTGTATATCCTAATTAACTTCCTTTATGCCAAGCAAATATCTTTTCCCTCTGGTTGTGTTTCTCTCTCCATACTGTTTGAAACTTTGCACAGTGATAGAGTATAAACCAACAAATGCAAACCATGGGCTGTTTTAGAGGCTCACTGAATTCAGACGTGGATTTTGAAATTATCTGAAATTGTTGAAAGCATGATTCTAAAACTTCTACCTGTAGCTTAAGAGTTAGATTTCAGGTCAAGAACATTTAAGTTATAAAACTTCCCCTGGCCAGTGTGGCTCAGTGGTAGCCAGTGTGGCTCAGGGGTAGAGCATCAGCCTACCAAGGCTCATGGTAGGCTCTTTCTGGCCTCCGCCCCAATTCCTCCCTTCCACTCCATCTAAAAAAATCAATAGGAAAAATATCCTCAGGTGAAGATTAACACACACACAAAAAGGTAAAAATGTATGCATGGCTTGTGTGATACGAAAAATAGCATCAGGGTTTCTAGAATTAATTTGTAATTTTTTTAACTTTATCTCTTAAAAAAAATTTAAGTCTGTAGGAAACAGTTAGCACCTCTCTCTCATTTTAATTCGTTGAAAATTTGGAATTTTAGTAACTGTATTATTTCCATAGTCAGCATAATCATGCTCTGTACACCCTTAAAATAGTTTAATATTCTCTCTACAAATTTTTATTAGAAATTTGAAAATTGACTGGATATTTGCTGATACTAAGGGATTAGTGTTTATTTTTTAAATATGATAATAGTTATTTGGTTATGGTTAAGTTGTTATCTTTCAGAGATAAATACTAAAACAGTTACAGATGACATTATATAGTCTCTGGAATTTGCTTCAGAATAATATGAGAGGCAGGTAGATGAAAGTATAAATGAATAAATTTTAAATGTTTACAATTTGATGGTGGGCTCCTTGGAGGTTATTATACTATTACTAGAGGCCTAGTGC